AACTGATATAAATACTTAAATAATTTTATTCTTGTAAATATATACGTAATATACATACATTGCAGACACCCAAACCAATACAACTGTCATACTCATGAACACAAATGTTTATACATTGCTAGAATCGAACGCGCGATCATCGGAAATAAGGCCGTGTACTAATCCGCTAAACTACAGATACCGTCGAAATATATTAAATACCTATCCGACTGAAAGTATTAGTTAACTTAAAATTTAAAGTAACTTGATTTGTATGTATATTCACGCTATACAATAAGTATCTTTATATGATTAACATTGTTAATTTTCCTCACATACAAATGTATGTAACATAGCAAGTTTTACAACCACTAGTTATAATGACCCCTCCAATCGATCCCCCGTACAATTCAAACGGGGATCGAAATTACGACGGCCTGAGCCGAGGTTCGAACCCCTAGTGGTGCCCTCAGACTAAAGTCGTATCCGTCAGGCAGGAGTTGGCCTTCAGCCGCTCCATAAGTCTTCCGCGGGTTTGGAGTGCCATCTGCACTCGCCCCCTATCGTCAGGTAAAGATGTAAAGGCCAGCTGCGGCCAACAGCATTAGAGTAATCCGAAAAATAAAATAAAAAAAAATAGTTATGATGACGACTTGGACCTTGATACCAACGGCGGATCCAGGGGGGTAGGGTCATGGGGGTCATGACCTCCCCCTAAGCCCAGGACTTAGGTAGACCACTAATTGAACATAATGATTTTATTTATATATTTTGTCACCATACATATTTTATTAATATTTTTAAGTACAGTATTTACCTACATTAATAAAATACCTACTTTTTACTTGTATCTATTGTTATCAAAATTAAATTATAAGTTCTTGTATTGACCACGGAAATGTGACCCCCTCCTGGAGTCATAGCTGGATCCGTTCTTGCCTGATACAGGTCACCGATGGTTCAGGGACAGAACCTCAAGTAGTGACCGAGACTTGAGACATGGGTGTAGGTTTAAAGGGCCCTTTTAGAATGCATTAACACTCGCCTTCATTACTTGTGGTATCCTCCCAGTCGCAACTAATAAACGGCCCCATGCCTACAATGTTCACAATTACCTATCTCTTATTTGTTTTTATAATAATATAAACACTCAAACCTTTTCGCTCCAAACTCCCGCTACGTCAGTTCCATCCATCCGTCAATCTACTTGTCAATGTCACAATTATTTAGACTCTGGCCTCTGCCGTTTCGTTTCAGGTTACTCTGAATGCCTTAGATAAAGAAACATGATTATTGACTTTACTATTTTTAATTAATGGTGTTTCACACGATAGTTAACACAAGTTATCTTGGAATTTTAATTTATGATAAAATTAATACAAACAAATTCAACAGACGTCATTTTTTATTCTAATTAATTGTGACGAAGTAGTACCTATCTTTAGGATATTTAATTAAATATATATATCTTTGCCTACTACATATAGGTGTATAATTATAGAATTATATATTACTTACAATATTAATACTAAGATTTAGAATACAAGACACATCTTTATTTAAATAAACTTAAATTAAGCACTTTTGAATAGTCAAATTGATTTTACTACCACCACTCATTTGGAAAGCAGAGTCATCACAAGAAGAGCGAAACCAAAACTTGCGTGTTGTTTTTTTAATTAAATTTTGTTCAGCGTTACATATTTAAGATTTTGTGTAAATACAAGCTACCACTAATAATAGAAATAATACTATTTTAGGACAATTCACACAGCATCGTCTAGTCCCAAGCTAAGCAGAGCTTGTGTTTTGGGTACAAGACAACTGATAATGTATATCAGTTGTCAGTAACTTTTTTTTTGTAAATACATACATAATATATATAGAAACACCCAGACCGATATAAACAATCATAGTCTTGAATACAAATGTTTGTACCGAGCGAGGAATCGACCGCGACCATCGGTAGTAAGCTAAACCAAATAAATAAATAGTTACAAATTAGTCATTCACGAGTATAATGAATGAGTCAGCCATCACTGCGCTCAATCATATTTTAGGGAACCCAATGACGCTACCCACTTCGTAAAAGAATTTAAATTAATAATATTTAGTAATTTAACATAAACATAATAATTTAACATAATAAATAAATATAAAATCAGAATTTAATTTACTTAATAGATATGCAATTAAAGTGGAAAATTAAAAACCTACTGTTTAATACTTAATGATAATGTTATCATATCTACATCGTACTGATAGCACTAGGTGAGTAGTGCTAAGTGTAGTAACAAATCAAGGAAACAGATGGAATGTTTCACTAAAAATAAAAAAAAAAATAAGATTGTATAGCTAAATAGAAGTTTTCTAGCATATAAATAAAATTAGAGTATCTGTTTGTAATATTGAAATAATTGTTTTTTACTACATGCATTTATGAATATAAATGCGGTACAGATACCAAAATAACATTTTTTACAATTTTTGTCTGTCTGTCTGTAGGTCTGTTTGTTCCGGCTAATTTCTGAAATGGCTGGACCGATTTTGACGGGACTTTCTTTGGCAGGTAGCTGATGTAATAAGGAGTAACTTAGGCTACTTTTATTTTAGAAAAATAAAGTTAAATTCCACGGGGACGAAGTCGCGTGAATAGCTTATGTTATAAATATATGTACTATTCAACTCTGTATATTTATTATCTACTAGCTCTGCCCGCGACTTCGTTCGCATGGTTATCAAAAATATTATCGCGATTATCTTTTGATACCAAATTTGATTACCATAAAAAAGTTATAGTGAGTCAATCTTAAAAGATAGACATATACTGTTCCGGAACTTTTTAGACCATTTAAAGAGGAATAATTCTTTCATATATATTTTTGGGTACTTTGAACCGATTACGCAGCGCACACAACGGAAGCCCTCAAATGTGAATAATTTTCTCCGTTTTTGCAACATTTTTCACTGATACTTCGCTTCTATTGGTCGAAGCGTAATGTTTAATTTTATAATATTAGTATAGATAACTTTATCATCTAACAATTGTCATGTTTAAAACATATAGTCTATAAATTACATGCGAGTGAAACCGCAGGCACAGCTTGTATAAAATACAGGCAAGAAAGCAAATGTTAGTACGTTTAAAATAAAGAAACGCAATTGTATAGGGTCGTAATAGGGAGCGCTCACCTGCAACTCCAAGGTCAAGGGGGTGCTACCGCCCCACGTCGTTCTGTCCATATCCATCTTGAAAGTACATACTACAAGCCCTTCTAATTATCATAACCAGTTGTCATTATACCGATTGATGACTTGTTTATACTTAGTACTGTTATAGAAGTGGAAGGGATAGGGAATAATGGAGACTAGTGACGTCATTGCTACCAACCTATACATATAAATAAAATTGCAGTGTCCGTTTGTAATATTGAAATAACCGTTTTTTACTACATGCATATGAATATATCATAAAAACGGTTATATGGTACATATACTAAAATAACATTTTTTATCATTTTTGTCTGTCTGTCTGTCGGTCTGTTTGTTCCGGCTAATCTCTGAAATGGCTGGACAGATTTTGACGGGATTTTTTTTGGCAGGTAGACTTTTAACATACATACTTATTATTTGAATTATAGTTTTTTTTATATAAATCTGTCATAGTTTCAGAATATACGAAAAATGTAGGCTTTGGTATTTTTTACGCATATTAAATATATATTATAACATAATATACTAAATTATAACATAATTAAATTTACTTTGCAATCAGAAAAAGTAGTAGGTATAAATTAGTGTGGTATACAATTCACTCAACTGAAAGAAAATAATATATATGTATATATACATATAAACGTTATAAGTACGTTATAACTTATAAATATCCTATTTATAAATATTATCTACAAGATATAAAAGAGTCGTATTTTGCAATAAAAAGTATGTCATAATATTAATTGCTGTTGTAATCACATTTACCATATAGTGTTATAACACATTTCCCGCTATTTTTATCTGTCGAAATTTTACTTTTAAACCACAGATAATAATTGCCAGTTCAAGTAAAAGACATTTCGCTTTAACAGCCATGTGTAATAGAATTGGCCAGTTACAAACGTCATTTTTTTAATGAATGTTGATGAAATTTCTACCTATTACAAATTTCATCCGCTTGCGCTAAAGTTACATTCTCAAAGGCTATATGATGGCGGGACACTGGTGGAGGATAATATGATGAGCATGAAGGCAGATTAGCTAGTACTAGTATATTACTGTAAATTGTGCCATAATATTATTTTATTCAAGAACCTTAGCCACAGCCACGCGTGACCTGGTCTGCTAGTATTAGTACAGACTAGCTATTCCCGCGACTTCGTCTGCGTGGAATTTTATTTTATTTTTCTAAAATAAAAGTAGCCTAAGTTACTCCTATTACATCAGCTACCAGTCAAGAAAAGTCTCGTCAAAATCGGATCAGCCATTTCAGAGATTAGCCGGAACAAACAGACAGACAGACAGACAAAAATTGTAAAAAAAAAATATTTTGGTGTATGTACCATAGTTATAGTCATATGCATGTAGTAAAAAACAGTTATTTCAATATTCAAACAGACACTCCAATTATATTTATATGTATAAAATGTATAGATATGTATACAGATAACCTCACCATGTTATTACAGTGCATGAACTATTCGTTTAACCTACCTTTGACATAAAACTGCATAATTTTCTTTACTTACAAAGGAATGTACGCAGTGTATACACTCTGGCATGTGAAAGGTTATTCATGTATTTATTACACCAATGGGCAAATTGTTTATTTACCACATATTTTTTAAATACAAATGCAGGTTGAATTCGAGGAACTGCCGTAAAAACTGTGTCATTATGATCAAGATAATATTGAGGAACATTGTCGCACTGTGTTTTTAATTGGAAAACGTATAGTTCAAACGATGACACAACGCGAGCTCTCACTTGACCGGTCTGCAATGCCAGTTCAACGCCAACGTTTGTATAGACTCCATGTCGCTTCGTGCAGCGCAGGCCGTTAACGAAACAAAAACTTTGAATACCGAAGCGCGTGCGTTCCAATCTTAAATATTAAAAAAAATCATCAACTTGTAGTGATTTTTGTTTTACCTGTAATATATAGGTCTGGGAAAAATCGGATGTGAACCAGGTTTTATTAGTGATAGATAACAGTGATAAGAGAATCGATAGGGCATGTATTGTCAGTTTCGCTGAAATTGAAGTTGAGTGCAATATAATTTGTGTGGTGTATAGTGATGCATTCTGAGGGGTGTATCCAGTCGAGTTCCAAAATATAATCGAGTTTTTTAGCTGAGCGAGGTGAGTGTTCCATGAACATCCAAGAGTGTTCTTTTTTTGAATCTGTAAACGCGGTCGTTGACTTAACTTTGGCAGAATGATCTCGATTATGAAATATCGATTTATTTTACTGATAACGTCACGTCAATGCATCAATGTTTTGATTTTTTTCTTGTAGTAATGATTATTGGTATTGTAACCCATAAGTGCCCACTTAAGTACCTAGTTAAGTAGGTACCTATTTAGTACTTTTTTAAATATTTTTATTTAAGTACCTACCTACTTAAATATTTTGAACAGGGTATGAATATATATTAAACACTCACGCTTCAATCATAGGTGGGGTATATAGGTATATATGTATATATTTTTTTTATAGAGGGATTTGGGCTATTACAGTATTACAGGTGCTAAGATCTGTAACCTGCATAGATCTATCAAACTAAATGGTGTAGTTAAAGACGTTCCTTTGTAGGTTTTTTTTTATGGATGATAATGGAATGGTGCACCCATGTAGGTTTACGTTGGTGGGGCACCGGTGGAGGATGATAAGATCACCAAGAAGTTATCACGACGGTTTCCAGGGAAACCGCGTGGAGGTCAACCTAGCATGATATAGTGCTAGCAATGAGATCATCAGTCCACATTACTAACAATCCTCTTCCCCCCCTTCCCGTGTAGGTTATCTATCTATATATAGTCAATGTTTTATTAGGTAATAAATAAACACTTATTGAAACTACCCTCATGAAGATCTTAGTTCTTAGTGAAATACAAATTAACGAACAAAAGCTTTGGTTTCAACAATAAAACATTTTCATTGTAGACAGAAAGGAAGATATAATACTAGCTGTGGCTCACAGTTTTACCTACAATTTACTTGAAACGAAATGGCGGCCACCCTCGTTCTTTGACCCGCCGCACCATTTTGCATTATTCTCCCGCGTTATTGCTTTATTTTTCGAATATTGTGAAACTATTACAGATTTGTTTATGGGTGATAATGGAATGGTACTCACGGCTACTAATGGTATACGTTGGAGGGTGAAATGATATCACCAGTGGAGAATAAAATGATATGCTTGAAGTCAGGTCTTTTAGACCATCATGACGAATTCACAGGGAATTGACCATGAAGGTTGCTAAGGGGACCACGCGGAGGTCGACCTGGCAAGGTACATTGATAGTAATAAGATCACTAGGGGTAGAAAGGGATTGTTAGTAATGTTGACTGATGATCTTATTGCTAGCAAGATACCATGTCAGGTTGACCTCCACGCGGCTCTCCATCAATGGAAACCATCGTGATAAATTCTTAGTGAATTTGTCACGATGGGTTACTGACCTGACCTCATGCTCATCTTATCATCCTCCACTGGTGTCCCGCCAGCGTAACCCTTTAGCGCAGGCGGGTGTATCATTCCATTACCGTCCATAAAAAATAAATAGGATCACTGGTCCCCAATACCTACCAACCGCAATATCGATATACAGTTATAACTTTCATCTTCTGTAATAATGTAATAAATAGGCTATGTAGGTACGGACATGCAATCGTATATAAATAAATATATTAAATATTTATATAAATTCTATTTTTAATTCAAAATCCTACCTTTTTTACAACTTTAGTATGAATATTGATAACTTTGACGGTCTCGGTGGTGTAGCGGTTTAGTACACCGCTTTACTTCCGGCGGGTTCGATTCCTCGCACGATGCAAATATTTGTATTCATGAGTATGATTGTTTGTATCGGTGTGGGTGTTTTCTGTGTACATTACGTATGTATTTACGAAAAAATGTATATCTATGTATTTATATCAGTTGTCTAGTACTCACAACACAAGCTCTGCCAACCGTGGGACTAGATGGCTCTGTGTTAATTGTCCAGGGTTATTTATTATTATTATTATCATCATCGAAGTTCTCGCAAAGTTTAAAGACCTGCATATATACGTACTGACGTCATCCAGTGATAAACCTATCAATGTGCAGTATGTTAACATACGGGTGTCAGTACTGCCAGTATTATACATACAATGCACGCATAAAAAACGATTTTAAAGTTAAATGCTTAAGGTCGAAAATTTAATTTTTTTTTCTGGACCTAATGCAATTTATACTGAGCTATCCAAGAATTGAGATTATATACCTAAAGTATGACATCATTGAGAACAGAGTATTTACACTTTGTATAAAATCGCGTAATGTTTTTCATTCCAGTGACTACAAATAAATATTTTATTTACTATTAATTTGATACATATATTACGACATCACGACGTAAGTAATTTGATAAATAAGACAAATTACAGGAAAATAACATTATTCATTGTATAAACTGAAACAGGATAAATTCAGAATGTACACCTGATATATACGTGTGGCATGGGAAACAATCATTTTATTTTTATTACACTCTGTATTGCACCAAATACAGAACAAAAAATTAAAATAATAAATATACATTAACTTATACAAAAGTCGGTCATATCGTTAAGCAATCAGTCAGGATATTATCTATTTGAATCGATTAATATATCCCACAGACAAAGACAAAGTCGCAGATAAAAACTAGCAGTGCACCATAGACAAGATTCTTCATGAAATTCTTGACAGATTATGTAACATTCCACTTGAATGCAATTCGTTTGTTGGTATAATTCTTGTATTAGATGTTTGGTGCAACAAAAACTTTATAAATAAATAACAATTCATGCTGATTTCGTAATAGGCAACATCTTAATGAATAAAAGAAACATTATATGGTTCAGTGAACACATTCTTCACAGTAATGTACAGTCTACAGATAAGTAGTCTGTCTAAATGTAATTGTACATAAATAATATAGTCGTAAATTAGTCGTATTATTAAAATGTATCTATATATGTTATGTTTAGTTGTCTAAAAAAAGTTTTTTAAATTTTGTCTATGTATTTTTGACTGTTGTGGTCTAACAAGCTTCGTTTAACATTTAGTTTTTGATTTAGTCCAATTTTTTTTGGTTCGGTTTTTCTAATTAGTCTAATTAATTCAGAAAAAAATAAGTTGTATAGTAGTAAGACTACTATTAACATTATGAAGAAAGAGAGCAGATTTTTGTTATGTAGATAACTCCAGAACCACTGTATCTGATCTGAGAAAATCTATTTCGAAGATTAATGTGATATGTTTTTTACAAACCATTTTTGATGGAAAATAATACATCTACTCAATTTTGTTTTTTTGAAAAGTAAACAATATCTTAACCTATTATTTGACTCATTAAAAACAATTTTAAATTCATTATTTTTTAGAAACTTCCTCAATAAACGATAACGTAATATTCCTTGTATTATTATTTATTATACGAGTATACAAACCTGAACGATGCCGGGGCTTCTCGTAGTTAATACCACGTATGCAAATCGCGGTTACAGCTACCAGTAATATGCAATATGCATTTTGTTTTTCTAAAACGTCAGCTAGCACTAAGTAGGTCAAGACCGAAGAATTAGTGGATCATTTGCCACTTACTATTACAAAATTCAAATATAAATTAAGTTGGTGCTATATATGAATATTATGTATACGTAATACCCGCCTTAATGTTATGCCTTATTACACTATCACATCTAATATATTATCATAATTATATCAATTTATTCTTAAACTTGCTAAACTGCATTAGTTTTTTATCATTATAAAATTTCGTACACTTATGGTTGGATGGAGGTCAAATTAGGCAATTTTTTATCCCGGCCTATAATAATCATTCGAAACTTTTTTTTAATGTTTACTAGTAATGCATAAACTCAAAAAATATTGACGCCTTTTTGAAATTATTTCACCAACAGATAGTAACATAGTTAATATTATATTAAATGGTCCAGTACAATTAAAATCGAGCCTTTCATCTTCATACCTAATATTAGTATGAATAGAAAGAGTTTAGAATTATTTTAAATCATAAAGATATGAAGTATGAAAATACAAGAATAAACTTTATTTCTGGTCTATAATAAATGATGATAATTTGCTTAAAACCTTTAAAACAAGTTGATATTTAAAAAAAATATAGTAGTATCTGTAGGCACGTATTACTTTGTAGTTCATATGTATGACAACATATTTTCACAATATGCACGTGTTTTATTATATTTACGTGCGACTTTAATAAGAAAAAAAAAAAAACATTATCAGATATATTCAAATTAAATACTAAATAATATAGCATAATAACACTTGCAATATTACCGACTATTTAGAAAGACACTTTATTTTTTTCATCGGTGCGGTGATTGTCAATCCTCCCGCCTAATTTTGGCGCCAAGATTACGTAATGGCGACTCGATGGCTGTATTGATTTTTTTTTATTATGATTCATAAATTTGGTTGCATGTGAATTCAAAAAATTGTAGTAAATAAAAAACATTGAGATATATAGTGTAAATCTGAAAATAATAGTTGAAATGTGATAGTTTGTGTCGTTTTCTATCACTTTTTTTTTAATTAGAAAGTAAAGGTTCAAGAGTTAAAATTGTATTATTAATATTTAATGTTTTTGTGAATTAAAAAATGAGAGCTTGCTTGTTGTGAATATGCGGAAGGAATCTATAAACATTTTTATCAAAGTACCTATACAGTTATTAAACGTCAACAAAGTAAAACGGAAATTTTAAATTGAGCGTATTATACAAACAAAAAGATTCTTCTGATATTTCCTTACGCTCTTTATTTACTTTTTTGACAAAGATAAGAGAAGGAAACAACAGAATATATAAAATATTATAAGATGTAACATACTTTATACGTATCCGTCGTGCCAGGGTTGCTAACCTTATGCACTTAGAATTCGAGCGACGAAATAAAATTGTGGTAAATTTATATTGAGAATTTGGCTCCTACAATTTACAATAAAATACCTAAGAAAATAACACTCATTGATGACATTAGACATTTTGAATGAACTTTGAAAACATATTTATTAGAAAAGAACTAATACAGTAGTTTTTGGATGTCCAAGTTTAATTGTTTAAG